ATAAGGCCATGGCTGATCTGGTTTGAACCTCATCTCTCCATTCCTGCATATCCCCCAATAATCTTCCATTCCCTTGGTTGTTAAGAATCTATCTCCCTCTGCCTTAAAAACATTGAAAGATTCTGCATCCACTGCCTTTTGAGGAAAGGAATTCCAAAAACTCACAATCCTAAGAGAGAAAAAAACATTTCCTCTTCTCTGTTTTAAATGGGCACCCCCTTATTTTTAAATGATGACCCCCAGTTCTAGGTTCTCCCACAAGAGGAAACATCCTTTCCACATTCACCCAGTCAAGTCCCCTCGGGGTTTTATATGTTTCAATTAAGTCATCTTTGACTCTTCTAAACTCCAGAGGATACATGCCCGACCTTTCCTCATAAGGCAATCTGCTTGTTCTGGGTATTAGTCTAGTAAATCTTCTCTGACCTGTTTCAAACACATTAACGCCCCTCTGTACATACAGTGTCCACTACTGTACACTACTCCAGACGTGGTGCTGTATAACTGAAGCGTAACCTCCCTACTCTTGCATTCAATTCCCCTCACAATGCAACATAACGTTCTATGAGTTTTCCTGATTACTTGCTGTACCTGCAAACTAACCTTCTGTGATTCATGTACTGGGACACCCAGATCTCTCTGCACCTCAGAGCTCTACAACCTAAGTGTGGGGTTGGAGGGTTAAAGAGTGGTATGATCTTGGTTCTTAAGGAGGGGGTGGGTGCTTTCAGTGAGTATGTGGACCCTCCAAATGCAGCTAGCCTCGGCTCCCACCTCTTGCCTGACACACGCCCAGGCTGTAAAAGCTTACAGCGTACCTGCTCTCATGAGCCACCCCCTACCCCAGGTAAAATAGCAGTCGGGTAGGATGATGCCATTTTAATGGTCCAGACAAGGGCCCCACTAGGCCCAAGGATGTCAGGCCATCCAATGCCTCCACCAGCAACCCCCTCAGCCCCATCCCCAAATAAAAACAGGAGATCGTGAAGAGCGGACAGGCCTCCTGCTGCATTTTGCATAGTTGCTGATCCTGGCACTAAGCATCGTCTAAGTTGCCACAGCTGGAGAGTGGGAAATCTAACCCCCAAGAGATTTCCAGCAAACCATCTCCCAATCACCCCTAACTCTAAAGAGCAACAAACACTTCGCCTATCTTACAACGCATCGACTTACCCGACTGTGCCATGTTGGAGCGTGGCACTGGGTCCAGTGCCCAATGCAACTGGCGCTGAAACTCATCGCGATCTTCAGGATGAAGCAGTTCATACACGGGCTGGTGCATAACAGCAGTCTACAACAGAGAGGACAATATTACCATTTGGAATATTGAGAGCAGTTTTGGGCCCCATATCTGAGGAAGGACATGCTGGTGTTGGAGGGGGTCCAGAGGAGGTTCACGAGAATGAGCCCGGGGATGAAGGGCTTGTCATATGAGGAGCAGTTGAGGACTCTGGGTCAGCACTCGATAGAAGGATGAGGCGGGGGATCTGATTGAAACTTGGAGAATACTGAGAGGCCTGGAGAGAGTGGATGTGAAGAAGATGTTTCCACAAGTAGGAGAGACTAGGAGCTGAGGGCAAAGCCTCAGATTGAAAGGACGACCCTTTAGAACTGAGTTGAGGAGGCATTTCTTCAGCCAGAGGGTGTGACTGTATGGAACTCATTGCTGCAGAGGGCTGTGGAGGCCAAGTCATTGAGCTTATTTAAGATAGAAATAGATAGGTTCTTGGTTGATCAGTGGATCAAGGGTTATGGGAAGAAGGCAGGAGAATGGGGTTGAGAAACATATCAGCCATGATTGAATGATGGAATAGATTCAATAGGCCAAATGGTGTAATTCTTCTCCTATATCTTATGGCCTTACGATCTAATAGGCATCAGAGCTAACAAGACAAAGACGAGGGGGCAGAGCGAGCATGAAATATAGGGAGGCGGGTTAAAAATCAGAGTGGAATTTTCTCAGGGACATTAGTCCCTCATCAACCCAGGGTTTGTGGTGGATGATCTGACCTCTCCAAGCAGATTCCACGGCTGTGAGATGGTTAGGAGTTAGGGGGGTGTAAAAAGTGCACAGAACCTTTCACCATGATGGCTCGGCCAATTTGGTGCAGCCTATGTTCGATGGACCACTTTAGCCCAACTTGCCACTCAACCGTCCACGTTTGCAACTCCCTTGCTGCACGCAGTCTCAGGAAGAGAGCACCCAGCTCTGAGAGTTTAAGAAGGAAGCTCTTCAGTATCATGTTACCAGTGCCCAAAATGTGAACCAACCCGCCCAGCCAACCCAATGCCCTGTGGATGCCCACAAGCATTCCATTTTCATTCGAATGACCTGCCTCAATACAGGAGATCCCAGCCAGCATAAACCATCACACAGATCGTCTCTTTCCACCGTCAGCGAGTTGTACAGAGGCCTCTTTGGGCTTCAGATTGTCGGAGTTATGAACATATAAACAAACATACAAACAAGAGTCAGCCACTCGGCCGTTTGAGCCCGTTCTGCCATTCAATCAGATCATGGCTGATCTGATTTTAACCTCAACTCTACATCCCTGCATATCCCCCAATAATCTTCCGTCCCCTTGGCAATCAAGAATCTATCTTCCTCTGCCTTAAAAATATTGAAAGATTCTGCATCCACTGCCTTCTAAGGAAAGGAATTCCAAAGACTCACAAGCTTCAGAGAGAAAAAAAAGTTTCCTCACTTCTGTCTTAAATGGGCACCTCCTTACTTTTAAACAATGACCCACATTCTAGATTCTCCCACAAGAGGAAACATCCTTTCAACAGCCACCCTATCCTCTCAGGATCTTATCTGTTTCAATTAATGTACTTATGACTCAAGCGGCACGGTGGCTCAGTGGTTAACACTCCTGCCTCACAGCGCCAGGGACCTGGGTTTGATTCCACCCTCAGGTGACTGTCTGTGTGGAGTTTGCACATTCTCCCCGTGTCTGCGTGGGTTTCCTCCGGGTGCTCCGGTTTCCTCCCACAGCCCAAAGATGTGCAGATTTGGTGGATTGGTCATGCTAAATACATGGATAGAGTGGGGAGGTGGGTTTGGATGCTCCTCGGAGGGTTAGTGCAGACTCAATTGGTTGAACGGCCTCTTTCTGCACTGTAGGGATTCTATGACTCTTCTAAACTCCAGAGGATCCTGACTAGCCTTTCCTTATAAGACAATCCACTCATTCCAGGTATTAGTCCAGTAAACCTTCTCTGAACTGTTTCCAATGCATTAACACCTTCTGTAAGTACAGTAACCAGTATTGTGCACAGTTCTCCAGATGTAGTCTCACCAATGTCTTGGACAACTGATGCACGTCCTGGATAACTGAACTTGCATTCAGTTCCCCTCACAATACAACAGAACATTCTATTAGCTTTTCTGATTACTGGCTGAAGCCTACAAAACATCAAACGTTCTCAATTCTTCCATTCAACTCTGATGAACGATAACACAAGCTGAAACGCTCAGTGTTTTTCTCTCTCCACAGAAGACTAGGGATATCCGGTTTTATCTCAGGTTTTAAGCATCTGCTGTATTTCGCTTTATTACGCACAACTGTCGATCCCCTGTTCGATATCTGATGACCATGTGGGTTCTTTCCAGCTTGGCCATCTGGGCACCAAACTGGTTGAGCAGATTGCCTGCCCATTATCGAAGTTGCGCGCTGCCCATTCAAATCATTCCAGCCGGTGGGCCGTGACTTATGCCCTCCACAAGGCGAGAACGGCCACCCCCTCCCCATCCCCAATGCGTTAGTCGGGACTGAAAGTGGTTAGGCACTGGCTCTCATCATTTGCCCCAGCACTGACCTGATGGAATCCCACATATTCCTGAATGGTGGGAGATGCATAGAAGATGTCACCTTCTGTAGTCACCACCAGGACAAAGCCATTCAGCGCCTGGAAACACACAGATATTAAAACCTTTAGGCAAACAGATCTCTCAACCGGTTATTTCATTTGCAATAATTTTTTTTAAAAAACTGAAAGAACTGCGGATGCTGGAAATCAGAAACTAAAACAGAAATTGAAGCAAAATCTCAGCAGGTCTGGCAGCATCCCCACTTTCCTACCTTTTCCTCCATAACCCTTCCTGATTAAAAAGCTGTCTATCTCAGCCTTGGATATATTTAATGACCCAGCCTCGACGGCCCTCTGCGATAAAGAATTCCACAGATTCACTCCCCTCTGAGAGAAGAAATTCCTCCCCATCTCTGTCTTCAATGTGTAACCCCTTATCCTGAGATTATACCATGTGGTCCTAGACTCTCCCACAAGGAGAAACAACCTCTCCCTATCTTCCCGGCCAAGCCCCCCTAAGAGTCTTGTATGTTTCAAAAAGGCCGCCTCTCATTCTTCTAAACTCCAATGAGTACAGGCCCAACCTACTCAACATCTCCTCATCAGACGGTCCCTCCATATCTGGGATCTTCTGTGCATCTTCTCTGAACTGCCTCTAATGTCAGGATATCTTTCCTTAGATAAGGAGCCCAAAACTGTTCACAGTATTCCAGCTGTGGCCTGACTAGTGCATTGTATAGTGTTAGCAAATCCTCCCTATTGTTATACTCCATTCCCTTTGAAATAAAGGCCAGCATTCCATTTGCCTTCCCTATTACTCACTGAACTTGGATACCAGCTTTTTGCGATTCCCAAATCTCTCAGAACTCTTTCTCCATTTAAACAATATTCACCTTCTCTATTCTTCCTGCCAAAGTGCATCATCTCACACTTATCTGCCAAGTCTCAAAAGAGCACTATCTCTTTTTAGAAAGAAAGCAAAAACTTGTATTTGTATTGCACCTTGCACATCCAAAAGGCAACCAATGAATTCTGTTTTGCTGTGTCATCACTGTTGGTGTGTACACACAAATGCTGCAGTCTATTTGCAGTCTGCAAGACCACACAAATCGTAAATGAAAAAAAATGGCTAATCAATCCTGTATTTAGTGGGGTTCCTTTTTGGGGGGGGTTAATGTTGGCCAAAAAAAAACTGTGAAGGTCTTCTTCCACTTCTTTCGGTCAAGACTTCAGATCTTTTGTGCGTGCCCAAGAGGGTAACTGGGCACCTCAGTATAACATCTCATCCCCTCTGACAGCGCAGCACTCCCTCAGTACCACACTGGACACGCCACCCTCTATTCTGAAGCCAAGGCCCTTTCTGCTCATGTTAGGACCCCCATATCCACCATTCCCTTCCTTCCAGCTGAGGTGTCCAGATAGATGCCTGAAGAAATTGTCGAGGCAAAGGCCTAGTGGCATTTTCATACAAACAAGCAACAAGGGCAGGCCACTCTTTTTTTCCACCAATCATTACGACCACGGCTGATCCAATTTTAACCTCAACTCTACGTTCCTGTATATCCCCCGATAATCTTCCATCCCCTTTGGTCGTTAAGAATCTATCTCCCTCTGCCTTAAAAATATTGAAAGAATCTGCATCCACTGCTTTTTGAGGAAAGGAATTCCAAAGACTCACAACCCTCAGGGAGAAAAAAATGTTCCCTCATTTCTGTCTTAAATGGGCACCCCCTTATTTTTAAACTATGACCCCATGTTCTAGATTGTCCCACAAGAGGAAACATCCTTTCCATATCCACCCAGTCAAGTCCCCTCAGGATTTTATATGTTTCAATTAAGTCACCTCCAACTCTTCTAAACTCCAGAGGATACAGGCCCAGCCTTTCCAGCCTTTCCTCTTTATAATTAGACCTAGGTAATGCTCTGGGGACCCTAGTTTGAATCACACAACAGCAGATGGTAGAATTTGAATTGAATAAGTATCAGGAATTAAAAAGTCTCACTGTTCATTGTCATTAAACGCATCTAACTGACTCATGCCCTTTAGCGAGGGAAATCTGCCATCCTCACCTGGTCTGGCCTACATGTGACTCCAGACCCACACCAATGTGGTTGACTCTTAACTGCCTGTTGAAATGGCCAAGCAGTTCTATCCAAGAGCAACTAGGGACAGGCAATAAATGTTGGGCCCAGCCAGAGATGCCCACATCCCATGAATGAATTAGAAAAAATAAAAACGGCACAGAAGCAAATCCTCACTAATTTCCTTTACCTGTAGGAGCAGTTCCCCTTCGGACAGTATTATATTGCCATGGTTTGGCAGCTGCCAGTCCAGCCTGGCATTGTTGGCCTGCTCTGCGGGTGGGCATCTCTTCCGTTGCCCCAAAGTAGCTGCAAGACAATCACAAGAACAACATTTAGTGAGAATTGCTCCAAACGCCAGAAAGACAAGTCAGAAAGATAAGGCGAAAGTCCAAATTTAGAGAAAGCCCCAGTCTTCTACCAAGTCAAGCAAAATAACCCGCCACAACTCTGGGTGAGATTCATTGCCCATTTAGCCAGAGCTTCAGGCTGCTTGAAACATGAACCACATAAAATCAAGGTTTGTGGATAGCGTGCTATTTGGATGAGTGCCAGAGCAGTGAGGAAGGGCTCACAGCTTTGCCTCAAACCCAAAGACTCAGATCAAGTTCAAGTCCGACTCGATGACATGCTGATGCTGGAAGGAGTGTTGCTAACACAGTCACACACAGGCTTTCCAACTGGCCTGTTTATCCTTCCAAGCTGCCCAGGAGTCTCCTGGTCAGCCGTACTCAACACACATGAATAAGTAACCAACTTGTTTCTCTTTAATAGACATCTATCAGGGCCTCAGGCTAATTGCAGCCAGACAGATGAGAACGCTGAGCTGAAAGCAAGTACATTCATTGGAGGGGAACATTTCTGGGAGAAGAAAAGGGGAACTAGTATTCATTGACTATATTTCCTTGCTTTTTAGTCCCTCTTGGGTATAGGTCAACCTTCAGGTTTTACTCACAAAAAAATCCCAAAGTATTTCCCACTCCCTCGCTGCTGAAATGGAACTTGGCCTGATGTAAAGCTACTTGATAGGATTTGCTCAGTAACGCACCACTAAAGGCAGCTCTTCAGCTCCTTGTACCCATCTGGTTCACTAATGTCCTTTAGGGAAGGAAACAGCCATCCTTACCTGGTCTGGCCTACATGTGATTCCAGACCCACAGCAATGTGGTTGACTCTTAACTGCCCTCTGGGCAATTAGGGATGAGCAATAAATACTGGCCTGGCTAGTGATGCCCTCATCCCATGAATGAATAAAAAAAAAACTTTGGGTTCCCTTTGCACTATTTTTGAGGGCACAGCTTTGATGGGAACAGTGTCCAACGTGGCAACTCTGTGATAGCACGTTAATTGGAGAGGATGGGGTTTCAATCCCTTCTTGTGTAAAAGTCGACCTGTCTACTTTTTGCCCGAAAATTCAGACTTAGAATCCCTGAGTTTTACATGAATATTACAGAAGCCTTATGGTGCAGGAAGAGGCCATTCGGCCCATTGTGCTTGCACCAGCTCTTCAAATGAGCGCGTTACCTTGAGCCAATTTCCTGCCTTCCAACCCCCCCTTTCACCCTTATAATCTGTTTTTATCTAAATAGCCATTCAGTGCCCCTCTTGCATGGCTCAATGGAACCTGCCTCCCCCACATTTCCAGGCAGTGCATTCCACACCCTAACTACTCGCTGGGTGAGAATGTTTCTCCTCACGTCACCCTCGCTTCATCTGTCCATCACTTTAAATTTACACTCCTCTCATTCTTGGTCCTTTTATGAATGGGAACAGCTTCTCCCGATCTACTCTGTGCATGATTTTGAAACCCTCTATCAGATACCTTAGGCGCGTTTCCTTTATTCACTATTGGGACATGGGCATCGCTGACTGGCCAGCATTTATTGCCCCGTCCCTAGCTACCCTTGAGCTGAGTAGCTTGCTGGGCCATTTCAGAGGGACAAAGGATCTGAAGGGGACCAGATTAACAAATGCACATGTGGAGAAACTGTACACGTAACTCCAGGAACCATTAACTGACATTGAAAGAAAATTCTAGCAGTATTTCATTCCATTTTCTCGAGGACCTCTCCTTCCTTCTCCTATATGTTTAGGGCAATTAACCTCCCAAGTTTTTGGGGTAGATTACTATTAAGCCCAGTTGAACTTCAGACGGAGTTTAAATTGGCCTCCTCCTCATAGATGGAGGAGAGCACCGGCTAGGAACCTCACACTGGAATCTGATTGAAATACATTGGGCAAATTGCCCTGCTTTTGACAACAATGTTATCTAGAAGTCCTTTCGTAGACCTCCCTGTCTCTTCACCTTCTTCCAAGACCATCCTTAAAATCCATCTCTTAGCAAGCTTTGGATTGCTCCCAATAGCTCCTTGTGCGCTGTGTCAATTCCTGCTCAATCACCCTTCTGTGAAGCTCTAAAGGCCATTTTCTTGGCATCACTGGCACTATATAAATGCACACTAATGTATCATTGAAATAACAAAACTACCAAAGGTTGTAGCAGAGTGTTCCTATGAATACATTGAGAAGGTGCCTTCACAAATGTAAAATGTACCCAAGAGCTAGGATTGCACTGTATCCTCCCACATGTTACAGACTCATTAGTTTGGCTAAGAATAACCATTTCTCTCTTTTGTTTGGGTATACGACAGTTACGAACAGTTGGTTTAGAAAAAAAAATACAACAGTTGGAAACAATTGTATTCAATGGACCAAGACACTTCTCATTCAGTCCTACAGAATTTTACTCCACCAAGAATCTGTAACATTTCAACTGGGAATGATGCCAGCAATGACAACACTACTTGAACGAGAACACGACCCCAGTGAAATCATCTCCAAGGACACAATGCTTAAACTACTGGACCTATGCCTGACCACCCACTTCACCTTCAAAGGCCAAACATACGAGCAAATCAACGGGACACCCATGGGATTGCCTATCTCCGGACTCATAGCAGAAGCAGTGATGCAAAGACTGGAAAGGACTGCCCTTCCGCAAATCCAACCTAAACTATGGATACGCTACGTAGACGACACCTTTGTCATCATTAAACGGACCAAATTAGAAGAGACACACAAACTCATAAACAACACCCTCACCGGAATAAAATTCACCAGAGAGGAGAAGAAGAACAAACAACTCCCATTCCTGGACGTCATGGTAGAGCGCAAGACAAATGGGGAACTGCAAACGAAAGTACACCGAAAAGCCACACACACAGACCAGGTATTGAACTTCAATAGTAACCATCCCAGCACACACAAACGAAGCTGCGTGCGAACACTATTTAAAAGGGCAGCAACACACTGCAGCAACATGGAACAATGCCAAGAGGAAGAAGAATACCTCTTCCAAGTGTTCAAGGATAATGGATATCCAAAGAACTGGGTCAGGAGATGCCTACAGGAACAGCATCAGAAAGATTCTACATGCCCTGACACACTCATCACACTCCCCTACATCAGGAACACGTCAGAACTCACCACAAGACTTCTACGACCGCTGGGCATCAGAGTGGCACACAAGCCCACATCAACCCTACAACAAGTGCTCACCCGAACTAAAGACCCACTCCCCGCCATGGACAGGACCAATGTCATCTACAAGATCCCCTGCAGAGACTGCGAGAAACACTACATCGGACAAACAGGAAGGAAACTAACAACAAGAGTACATGAACACCAACTGGCTACAAAAAGACACGATCAACACTCACTCATCTCAATCCACATGGACAAGGAGAACCACCACTTCGACTGGGACAACACCAAGATCCTGGGACAGGCTAGGCAGAGACAAGCACGAGAATTCTTGGAAGCATGGCACTCCACGAAGCAGGCTATTAATAAACACATTGAACTCAACCCCATATACATTCCACTACGGAGGAAACCTGGAAATGAGGCAATCCATCGCAACGGACCCCAGAGTTTAAAAGCCAGGCGGGAAAACACAGCGACGCTTCATCAGAGGCTGCACTGAGGATGTTACCAAGCGCGGTAACGGAACGTCCGCGGAACAACAAACCAGCTCAGCGAGCCAACCAACCTCAACACCCACAACCCGAGCTACGGGTCTACTCCAAAACCTCAGCAATTTACTGTTAGGTGTCAAAAAGGAAATAGGTTGTTTTCACGCACTTGTCTCTTAAAATAGGTGCTTCCTTCTGACACAAAATGCAGTTACGAAATAGCTTCCAGTCTCCTACAATGTCACTCGGTGCCCACCAACTTGATGTCAAACAGCTTCTGATGATATGGGAGTGATTGTGCACACAAACACTCAGCACAAACAGATATTCCGGTCAAGTTTTTACCATTAATACTCAACTTTGGGAAGCAATATGACCAGCACACAACAGCATCTTAGTGATGTATTCAAGCTCACGAATATGATTTTTTTTTTATTGTGACAACAGAGAGAGTGAAATATAATGACTTTTTAAAAAATGCTTATATGGAACGCAAGCATCGCTGGCTGAGCCAGAATTAGTCGCTTATCTCTAATTGCCCTGGAGAAGATGGTAGTGAGCTGCCTTCTTGAACCGCTGCAGTCCATGTTAACATTTTGGATCCAGTGACCCTTCCTCAGAAGGGTGATTTCTCTCCACGGATGCTGCCAGACCTGCTGCGCTTCTCCAGAAATTTCTGTTTTTGTTTCTGATTTACAGCATCCGCAGTTCTTTCGGGTTTTTATTTAATGAATGGTAGTTGTGTTGGTCATCATTATTGGGGTTAGCTTTCAATTCCAGATTTATTCTCTAAACTTAAATTCTATGGTGGGATTTGAACCCATATACCCTAGAGCATTAGCCTGGGCCACTAGATTTCCACCACACTGCTGTATCTCCCTTATAACATACTACTACTGCTTACAACTTGATCATTAGCTGGGACATTGAGGAGATGGAAATCACTTATAAATCACTGGCTGAGGCCAGCAAAGCATATAAGACTTCAAAATAACAATACAACTTTGAGCTGGTTATCTGAATCTAGCACAACTGGTAGCACTTATGTTTCCATCTCAGAGGCACCGCTCTCCGTTTACAATGTTAGATCAACGTCTCCTCTGTCTGGTCTGGTAGATGTTCAAGATTCTTCAGCTCTTAACAAGAATCATTGCATTACCTGGCCAATATTCTTCACTCGACTAACTTCACAGAGAAAAAAACAGGCACATGAGCTGTTCGTTCATCTGACTGATATCTGTGGGGAGTTTGGGGTTTATAGCACAAACTAGCTACTACATTTGCTGGACACTGCACAGTATCCATTGTCTACAGCACATGGACTGCAGCAGTTCAAGGAGACAGCTCACCATCACCTTCTCAAGGGGCAACTAG